GAGCGACTATTGAGCCTTAAACTCCTCGAGCGACTATTTGGGTCTTAGATCACTTGAGCGACTATTGAGCCTTAAACTCCTTGAGCGACTATTGAGCCTTAAACTCCTTGACGACTATTTAGGTCTTAGATCACTTGAGCGTCTATTGCATCTTAAACTCCTTCATCGACTATTGGGTCTTAAACTCCTTTAATAGAAGAAGAAGATATATACATATATATATATATATATTTATCCATTATTTTTTAATAAAATCTAAGCTTTCGGCTTACTCAAGCCATTATCAAAGATGTAAATACAAACATATCAAACAATATATGGACACGACAGTGATGATATAGTCTGTCATTGTTATGTTTACATAGTGGATCACTAAGCAACGATGAACACGCGCATATAAGACGCTAGAAGCGAAAATCGCACCGCATCTCATGACGTCACACATGACTACACGAGAGTGAATTGGAGAATGAAATAAGGAAAGCCGTTGGTATAACCGGGATTTATTTTGTAAAAAATACAAAATTGTGGCACAAGGCCGAAAAGGGGGAGGGGTAGGGCTGGTCTTTCACTAACTATCTTATACCTAGCTAATTTGATTCACGACCCATTCAGACATTACAATTTACTCATTCACCATAAGAACTCGTCCGTCATCAATCAATCCTCCTTGCACCATAATACCACATCCACTCTAGGGAGACCTACAAAACGCGCCCCATGTCATAATGATCCTAACACATATGTACAAAAAATTCTAAGATGAAAAATGAGATGGGGTGGGATGTGAACCCAATAACAAACTAAAATATTAACATAAATGAAAATAAAACGTTAACTGATGTTAGTAGGGCCCTTCAAACCCTCAAAATGCAGGGAGACCACTGTATTCTGCCCATTGGAACAAAATCAAGCAGCTCTCTCGCTAAGGGAGTGGGAAAGGTGATAAAAAATCATACGGGCATGTGGAAGTATAAAGCTGACCCAGTCGAGATAGAAAGTGGGGGATCAAAAAACAAACTTCTGTTACCAATTATTGAAATTATAGACATTTAAGAATATTTGTAGAGATTCCATAGTTGATTTTGTTTAGGTTGGGTTTTAACTGTTTGATGTATAATGCTTCAAGTATTTTTAGTTTTTGTCTATTGTTTTCATGTCGAAGTATAGTTGTGTTTTCGACAAGTATTTTACGGAATTGTGTGTGCGGGCAGGCATGTTGTTTTAAATGCCTAAAAATGTTAGAGTTTTCATTAAGATGTAGTGTCAAGCGTCGTGAAAGCGAGTTTGTGGTGTGACCAACATAAATATTATTTATTCTAGAAAGAAAATTCGGATTGCCAACACACAAACAGAATGTCTCATATCGAGAATATTCCACATTGAACATGAAGAAAAATTAATTATTTTTAATAATATGTAAAAATCTCCACTTTCACCTGAAGACGGTTTGCGAGACCAGACCAGAAACACGTGTCGTGAAATTATGTAAAACAAAGTATAATATTTTTCTCAATAAATCCACATTACAACCAAAAACGTTTGCGGCACCCTCTTCTTTTTAATATACATACTTTTCTCTCGTTGGAACCACTACAACATATTTCTTTTATATATATATATATATATATCTTCTTCTATGCGACGTGGTGTCCTTTCCGTACGTAAATGATCATAGCTCTCCACAATTTCCTGTTCTTTGTAGTTTTAATAAATTTTGTCTTTTTTGATATTTTTCCTAAAGCTTTTCAGAATTAAATTTACTCAATTTCACAAAGTAGGTTATGCATAATTTTCTTTTGTCCTTCTTGCTCTCAGTCTGTGCTGTGAGTATCAAATTTTCCAATCCATCTTTCCTCATTATGTGCCATAGAAATGTCAATTGTCTCTTCCCGCTGTTAAGTATAAGTGTTCTTTTTTGTTTCTATTTTCTCAAAAATTAGCTAGGTAGGTTATGCATTGTTTTTCTCTATCCCTCTTTTCCTTCAATCTGTCCTGTGAGTATCAAATTTTCCAAGCCCTCTTTCTTCATTACGTGCCTTGAAATTTCAACTCTCTCTCCTGATTTTAAGTATGAGTGTCCTTTTTTGTTTCCATTTTCTCAAAAACTAGCTAGGTAGGTTATGCATTGTTTTCCTCTATCCCTCTTTGACTTCAATCTGTCCTGTGAGTATCAAATTTTTCAAGCCCTCTTTTCTCATTATGTGCCCTAGAAAATTCAACAGTCTCTTCCTGATGTTAGGTATAAATGTCCTTCTTGCTTCCATTTTTCTAAAACTTCGTCGCACATATTCGGCCCATGATATCCCCAGCATCCTCCTGTAGAAACACATTGCTTCAAGTCTCAAGTGCTGATTACATTGACATGTAGGATAGTTAATGGCTGACGTGGAGAGTTGAAGATCGTAGTGATCGGCGAATCATACCTTCAGGAATCTGTTCCACAATGTAACAATTATGAATTATATATATATATATATATATATATATATATATATATATATATAAATTGAACATAGAAGTCAACACTTAGAGGTGACAGTCTGTTTTATGCTAGATGCAACCGTCAGGCCACCATATATATATACAGTAGCGTCCAAAACTAAGGGACAAAATTTTAAAACCTAATATTTGTTAGAAATAACAACTGTGAAAAGCTGAAATTTTGACAACTGGTAGTCGTTATCATCCATAATAACATACTAAAATTTGAATCATTTGCAAAGGATAGAAATGAATTATAACAATTATTTATTTATTTTCAAAATAGGATCGTCCAAAAGTAAGGGATATATATATATATATATATATATATATATATATATATATATATATATATATATATATATATATATATGATAGATAAGGTTTGACCTTAGACTTGAAGAGGTTAAGGTCGTGGTGATCAGAGAAGCATCTGGTCCACAATGTAACAATTATGTATAATATGAGGATATATAGGATAGATAATGGCTGATCGTACACTTGGAGAGGTTAAGATCGAATAAATTTCCGGAGTCTCTGCCATAAAATAGCGGTTCTCAGGAAGAATATCTGTGTGGAAATTTTTTTTCGCATGCGATGGGAATGAAGATGTTTCGATGTTGATGACGTTAAGGTTTTACCAATATCTTAAATAAATACATACATTTTTAAATAAATTAATTAAATATTTATACGAATTCCATTGCGAAAATATTAACTTGCATAGAGATAGAATCTGATTATGTATATAATAAGTATATATATTAATAAATACACATATACCTACGTTTGGTGTGCGACTTAAGTTTCGTTGGTTACCCAACTGGTCGGGCACAAGATATAGCTCTTTCTTTTATATATATATATATATATATATATATATATATATATATATATATATATATATATATATATTAATAAATATACATATACCTACGTTTGATGTGCGACTTAAGTTTCGTTGGTTACCCAACTTGTCGGGCACAAGTTATAGCTCTTTATATATATATATATATATATATATATATATATATATATATATATATATTAATAAATATACATATACCTACGTTTGATGTGCGACTTAAGTTTCGTTGGTGACCCAACTGGTCGGGCACATGACGGTCGCTAATATCTAGTTATTTCATTTACCTAACCCTATACCTATATATATATATATATATATATATATATATATATATATATATATAATAATAAATAAATAAAAAAAAAGAAGGTTGATGTGGATGACGAGGAGCTGGGAGTTGGCAGACTTCCGTTTTTTAATTAAAATGAATTCCAAAACGTCGGCGTATCTAAGTGATGTTATTAGATGCGAGCTGGTAGTCAAAAGCCTCCCGCTTCTCATTTGTGTGTCCCATCCGCGGCTGAATTTACATAAGCGAAACGATCAATTACAAGGCGAACTGATTAGGTGACTGTTTTCATCGGCGAATAGGATTCCCCCCACCACCACCATCCCTGTAACAAACCATATTCCAACATCGAGCTTATATTTTAGTCTTAATTAGTCCCAACCCCTTCAGCTCCCGTCGACCCAATGTCCCCTAATTTAATACGTCTTTCTATCAATCTCTTGTTTTTTTTCCCCTCTTTCTCAAATCACACAACTCGTCCGTTACGCTAATCAACTAGGTTTAGTCACTATGAAGTCGATGACCAACTGGTGGTCTCTGGAACGTTGAACCGGGCCAAAGGCGACCATAACCAATGTACCCCTGTGAATACGCGGGTCTTTTGTCTCGTCGATGTCGTACTGGAGCCATTTTGGAGACAACCGTCTAATGAACATTCTTATCCTTTTTATCTTTCAATATCTTTTTCAGCAAGGATCTCGTTCGTTTGATATTTTAACGTTATTTTTTTTATTTATTTATTTTTTTTTTAGAATTTCTTTCTTCATATCTATCCATTTTTCTCGGGTGATTGAGGAAGAGACTGAACATCGAAAGGTCTTACGTTCTATTCTGAGAGTTAAAACATAGGATTTTTGTGATAAAAAAGTTCTAATGATTAAAAGTAAAATAACATTTCTACGAAACCGTATCCAACACACAATAATGCGTAGCTTTACTTAACTGATTAATCTGTTTGTTTTTGTTTTGTTTTGTTTTTTTTTTGTTTCTTTCATTTTTTTTGCTTTTTTTTGTTTTTTTGTTTTTTGCTTTTTTTATTTTTTTATTTTTGTTTTTTTTTACGGCTTATCAACGTTTTACAGCTTATTTAAAGCCAGAAAATATTTTTTTAGAATTTTTTGGTGACAATAATGATTTACAGATACACGCTCTACCTCTAGCTGGGGGTTGGGTGAAGAAGTGGTTTCATACCTTTCCTAACGGTATTTGCTCGTGAGGGAAAATAAATGAACCCGACTGGAATTGGAACTTGGCTCTTTGATTTCCAGTTCCGAGCCATTATCCATTACACCTGCCGCACATCCAAGCTTATAGTACCTCGTTTCCCCAAGCGGTCAACGATCTCTGAGAAGCGGTGTTTCAACGTGACATGCCCATGAGCCGGGTAAAAGAGAAGGTGAGGATGAGGAGCTTTTGGAGAAAGAATGAAAAGAGTGGAAATAGTGAAAGAAGAGGAGAAGGAAAGTGTGGAAGTAACAGCGCAACAAAACAAGAAGAGAAGAAGAAAGTTAAGAAATTAAAACTTAAGAGAGTTTAAAATAAAACAAAATGGCGAACAGATACTATTTTTCATATCGGGTGAATCATTAAACATACAGATTGGGAGTTGGTCCAATATCCAAACAGCATCGTCTATTGACTCAATATCAAACACTTTAACGACCGCTCAAGAAGGTTGATAACTACGGTGCAGACTATACATATATATATATATATATATATATATATATATATATATATATATATATATGTATGTATATATATATATATATATATGATGATGATGATGATGATGATATATGTTATATATAAGACATGATGTTCGGCACCTGAAAATGGCAAGAACTGCATGAGACCCCGAGTCGTCCTATCGATGATGTATATTATGTGTATTCATTAATATATATATATATATATATATATATGTGTGTGTGTGTGTGGAGAGAGAGAGACAGAGAGAGACAGTGAGACAGAGAGAAAGGAAGGAAGTAATTTAAATAAACTGAAACCTTCTTATAAAGAATTATGAAATGTTGTTCATTCAGGCTGTGATGCATGGACGTCAGAACAACTATAAGAACGTAAATATAAAGACTTGCCACTGATATAGATAGATAGATAGATAGATAGATAGATAGATAGATAGATAGATAGATAGATAGATAATGAACAGACTGAGATAGATAGATAGATAGATAGATAGATAGATAGATAGATTGTGATATATCGATTCATAGATAGATAGATAGATAGATAGATAGATAGATAGTGTGCGTCTATGCTTATTCTTTATTAACGTTTTTAAAATATTTGTATATTTATGTCTGTATTTACAATTGCGATTTACGTTTAAGCGAGTTAAAGAGAGTCAGGTTTTTCCGTACGGGCCTTAACTGTCACCACCATTGATGGGCGTGGTTGGTAGGTCATGGAGAGGCATATTTTATCTGTCAATCAACCGTGCAGACATGGCCGCTAATGACTGCAATAATAAGTAAGCGATTTGAATGTACGGGAAGGACGTCGAGCACGTGACTACGACGCCACGGAAAGAGACCAACTTTGAGAACATAGAGACAGTGATGCCCTTCTTTCTTGTGATTGGCATATCAAAATAAAATAAAATAAAATAACTTGGGGTGTGAGCAATCTAAGCCTTTCTGTCGTGCCAAAGCAAAAAAAGAAAAAGAAAAAGAAAAATAGAATGAAAATTCCAGGGGTTGGGATAGTTAAGGTGAAATTATCGTGGGGGTTAGAGGAAAATGTTTCGAGGGTAGGGACACGATTTGGAGAAATTGCTCGGGGGTGGGGGGGACTCATTCAACATAGGTAAATAGTATGCGTTATTGTCAGCCACTTTCTAGATTATTCTCAATTGTAACGGCTTGGAAAAAATAAAAATTGATTGATTGATTTTTCTAGGGCTTATCAACCCTTTTCAGGTTGTTTAAAGCCAGACACTCATTTCTAGATTGTAAGAATTATATTTGTAATTGTTCCTTGGTTTCTTAACACGACCGTTACGCCCTGTCAATACCTCATAATTAATGGACTATTCAGTTTTGACCGCAAGGAAAGACAGAAAGGGCGTATAAGTAACGCTGTTTGGTTGCAGTGAAAGAAAGAAAGAAAGAAAGAAAGAAAGAAAGAAAGAAAGAAAGCGGAGGTGATAATGCTATTATGTGTTTAACCTCTGCTTCAATGAAATGTGAAATGATTTTAGATCTTTTCATTTGTACCCTCATACTTTAAATAATGAGCTGCATTCGTACTTACGCCTGTTATTGCAATAGTTTGTTAAAGTTATCAAACTGGAATATTTAACGATGCAATATGGGAATTTCCACGGATATTGTCTAAAGTCGTAGAATTCGCAAGAAGATAATTCAAACCTTAGATATTATGATTACGTACCTCCAAGAATTGGGTATACGTAAGTTTAAAAGTGATTTTTTAAATGAAAAAGTTTTTCTGAAGCTTTCAATTTAGCTTTAAATGAAAGCTAAAGGATTAAATTTACTATATTGGGTATGTAAAATACTTTTTTCAGATAGAAATTATATTGATTAGAATAGAGATGCATTTTTTTTTTCAGTAAAATCGATCACGTTAGCCATATTTTAGACAGTTGTAAACAAAACTTAATTTTCCGTTTTAAAAATCTTCCAAAAATAAAATTTATATTTTTGAAACATTATTTGAGGAAAATTAACAAATTTAAAATTAAGTTAGTTTAATTTGAAAGAAATATTACTTACTTATAGCATAATATGTTGTATACAAACATTTCCAAACCACGAGGTCTTGTTTTTTCTGACGTGTTAATCGATTTATTGATGGCGGATTTACTGCCGAATGTGTTCAGAGATAATTGTGGTGTAGCAGATGATAAATTTCATAGGGTTTTGCTTTTTGCCGTAAGTGGGGTGGGACAACCCTTAAAACATGTGACCTCTTAAGAATAAATTTATCGGTTTGTATATCCATACTTCCGAAATTCTTCATCGATATACATATATAAAAACAAATCGAAATTCTTTTAAAATTAGTTGCGTTCTTCAGATTGTAATAAACTTTAAAATATATGATTAGTAAACATAGGTTTACTTTTTAACAATATTCCCTAAAATTGACCTCATCGAAACTGAACTTTAAAAGATTCAAAAAATTTATAAATTATTCAATTTTAAATTGTAAAAATTGTAAAAAATGTAAACAAATCTTGGAAAAATTCATTTTTCATCGAAAATTTTTTTCTTCAGGCAATATTGTCTTTGATATATATTAATTATAAAAGCAATTAAAAGCTTCTCTAATTAAATACTGTATTAGTTTTATTACGTTTTTTTTTATTATTATTTTTCGATTCGGAATAGAATTTCAGTAAGACCGGGTCTGATTTTGCAAAAAAATCGGTGATTTAAATTCTTCAAAATATTCTGCTTTTAACTAATATAGTCACTAAAATTTATCTCGAGGAATTTCTCAAGCTTTCGTAAAATTAAATAAGGGTGAGAAATACATATAAAATAAAAAATATTTTTACCAAAGAAAGAAAGAAAGAAAGAAATTTTCTATCTGAAAAAAGTATTTTACATACCCAATATAGTAAATTTAATCCTTTAGCTTTCATTTAAAGCTAAATTGAAAGCTTCAGAAAAACTTTTTCATTTAAAAAATCACTTTTAAACTTACGTATACCCAATTCTTGGAGGTACGTAATCATAATATCTAAGGTTTGAATTATCTTCTTGCGAATTCTACGACTTTAGACAATATCCGTGGAAATTCCCATATTGCATCGTTTATTTCTCTAATAAAAAAATTTCAAAAATAATTTCATTCGTTTGTGAATAAGTCCTGAAAATTTAATTAAAATCCGAGAATTATTTGATTTTTGCAAGAATTTCCAAATTAATGTGTCTGTCAACGCAAAAGAGAGGCAAAAATTTGCTATGCTAAAAGTTAGTCCAACCGCTGAAGCAAGAAAAACAATTTTTTAATCAAAATTTCGAATTTTCTAAAAAGGAGTAAAAAAAAATTTAATTAAACATTCAAAAAATACTTTGAACCTTCCTCTTTAATAACATAAAGATTTTGACGATAAAACTGTTTTCATTACGTTTGGAGCATGCTTTTTTTTTTAGCGATTTCGTAGAGGTACGTCAGAAAATTTAAAATAGGAAAACCGTAACATTTTAACTGGTACTACTACTAATAATAATAATATTCGGGTGGGAAAGTAGACAGGACTGTGAATTATATGATTGAATGTGTTATCTTAGCTTAAGGAGGGTACAAACGGAGACACGGCTGTATATTACGTATTGCATACTGGACGCTATGTGGTAAATCCATATTGGAAAGAGTGAGAAAAAGGTATTTCCATGAACCACTTGCAGTAGTGGAAAATAGGAGTATAAAGGTGCACTGAGACTTCATCGTGCAAAACGTGATAATGTGTGGGAAGTAAGAAGGGTTGATCATCTTTACTGACCAGAAGAAAGACACACTGCGTTGGATCAGCGACATAGCAGTACCAGTGGGTGGGGGACGTCAAGGTAGTTGAGAAATAAAAAATGAGCATTAGGGGAAGGAAAGGTATGAAGATATGCAGCATGAGAGAGAACGCTTGTGGTGGTGAAAGTTGTGGGGTGGGGGCTTAAGAAAGTTGACCCTGTTCTTACGGGCGGTCTTGGAATTGTGACAGAGAAAAATAAAAGAAAAAGGACTGGGTAATATTTGGGACTGTGATTCGAACTAAGATGCTTCACAAAACAGCATTGCTTTGGATAACTTTCTTTCTTTCTTTCTTTCATTCTTTCTTGCTTGCTTTCTGTCTTTCTTTCTTTCTTTCTTTCTTGCTTGCTTGCTTGCTTTCTGTCTGTCTGTCTTTCTTTCTTGCTTTCTTGCTTGCTTTTTGTCTTTCTTTCTTTCTTTCTTTCTTTCTTTCTTTCTTTCTTGCTTGCTTGCTTGCTTTCTGTCTGTCTGTCTTGCTTTCTTGCTTGCTTTCTGTCTGTCTTTCTTTCTTTCTTTCTTGCTTTCTGTCTTTCTTTCTTTATTACTTGCTTGCTTTCTGTCTGTCTGTCTTTCTTTCTTTCTTTCTTTCTTGCTTGCTTTCTGTCTTTCTTTCTTTCTTTCTTTCTTGCTCATCTATTCCTCTTTCTCCTTACATTCATTTCTCTTTCGTTCTTTCTTTTTTTCATTCGTTCTTTCTTTCTTTCATTCTTTCTTGCTTGCTTGCTGTCTTTCTTTCTTTCTTTCTTTCTTTCTTGCTTGCTTGCTTGCTTTCTGTCTGTCTGTCTGTCTTTCTTTCTTTCTTTCTTGCTTTCTTGCTTGCTTTTTGTCTGTCTTTCTTTCTTTCTTTCTTGCTCATCTATTCCTCTTTCTCCTTACATTCATTTCTCTTTCGTTCTTTCTTTTTTTCATTCTTTCTTTCATTCTTTCTTTCTTTCTTTCTTTCTTTCTTTATTCATTTTCTATTGCTCTTGCTCAACCCATCCATTTCACTTTCATTTGTTCTTTCTTTCTTTCCTTCTTACTTCCTCGTTTTCTTTCTTGCTTGCTTTCTTAGTTTCTTTCTTTCTTGCTCGATTGCTTGCTTGCTGTCTTTCTTTCTTTCTTTCTTTCTTTCTTTCTTTTTTCTTTCTTTCTTGCTCGATTGCTTGCTTGCTGTCTTTCTTTCTTTCTTTCTTTCTTTCTCGTCTATTCCTCTTTCTCATCCCATCCATTTCTCTTTCTTTCTTTCTTTCTTTCTCATCTCACCCATATTTTATCTGCTTCTCTTCCTTAAAACACAAAATTAATCTTTTGGGGCCGAAGTTGACGTCGACAAAAATATAACTTTGATAACCCGATCAAATCGTGTCTATTTTTCTTTTCTATTCAACAGCAATTTCCGCTATATTCCCCGCCCCTAATTATTACTACCTTTCATTAAATAAAAAAAACAAAAAAAAAAACAATATTAATCTCCCTTTTCTTCTTCTTCTTTTCCCTCTTCTTTTTGTGACAATTTACTGCTTTTACTTTTGTTTTCTTTCTCTTCTCGGTCATTGCTTCTACACTTTTTCACTTCTTTACTCTTTCTATTATATCGTCTTTCAGGCCTATATACATTTTTATTTACATATTCTTTCTCAATATTTTTTTTAAATTAACTTATCCGTTTTTTGTCATTTCTTCATACTTTTTCCTCTGCTTTTTCTTCCCTTCTTTCTTTTCTTTTCTGTTCTCCTTATTCCTTTTTTGTTTTCCTTCGTTGTCATCGCCTTTCTAATGACACTTAATATATTATTGCTTTCTTTCGATTACTTTTTTCGCATCCACCTTTTCTCTTCATTTTCTCTTCTTCCTAAATTCCTCTCTCTCTCTCTCTCTCTTCCCCCTCTCTCCTTTTTACTTTTTATTCTATTCTCATACAGCCTCGTTTTCATATCCCTCCATTTTTTTTTGTCAATAATTTGTGTGGGTTTTTTTCCCCTCAAAGGCAAAATAAATAAGACTGTTTATCGTCATTTTTAAGCGTGCATGTTTTTAACGTAAAAAAAAAAAAGGAAGATGAAGAGGGGCGGGAAACGCTAATAATTGCCCGGGACCTGGACATCTAAAACAATAATGAACTCAAGTGGATGCGAGGTTGATGTCGGGGACGAAAACAAAAAAGGTAACCAGAAAGAAAATGAAAATTAAAGGAAACAAGAAAAAAAAACAAAGAAAGTGGAAATATTGTATTAAATCCATTGTTCGGTCTGCAGCTCGTAAAGTTGGTTCACTGTTTCCTGTTAGACAATTTTTCTCTCTAGAATCTATCTTAAATGTTTATAAGTCTACGATTCGTCCTTGGTTTGAATATATTGCTGCCGCATCTGGTCTGGTGCTCCTGCTATATATTTAGAAATCCTTGATGAAACCCAAAGAACCTGCAACGTTATTGGTTATGACGTGGCATTTCGGCTTCAGTCATTTTTCATACTGCCGTAACGTAGCTTTTTCTATAAATACTTTCATGATAATTGTTCAGATGAACTTTCCTCTATGGAAGTGTACCAAGAAAGAAGTGCTGAAGGAGATTTTGTCATTTTTGTCATTATCCCATGAATGCGGCGGGTGGGGCTTGTTAAAAACATATCTCATTAATGTGAGAGGATGCTGATGTAATGCCATCGTAACTGAGATCAGCGTTCGAATCCAGGTAAAAGCTAAGATATTGTGTTTCCATTTTTAATCGGCTTAAGTCCCTTTCCCACTGCCACAAAGTAGTTTCTCTGCTCTTTCTCTATAAATACATTCATTGTAATTGTTCTGATAAAATTTCACCTATGGTACCCAGACTTTATGAATTTAAGCGCAGTACTAGATTGTCGGCAGGGTTTCATCATTTTACAGTTGACATGGCTAGAGGTAACTGTAACTTCTATGTCAGATGCAACCGTATGTTCTATCGCACTTCTCGCTTGTGGAACTCTCTTCCGGCTTCTTGCTTTCCAGTCGCTTTTGATCTTCAAAAATGTCAATCGTTATCTTCTGTCTTCTAAATCCTTGTTCTTTTATTGTTCACTTTCCTTAATAGTGTTTTGTTTTTATTTCATAATCTCTAACACTCAGTAATCCCTTGCGTCAGTGGCTTTATTGCCTTGCTTGGAATGAAATGATTTTTAAAATCTGTTCAGTACAGTACTTTTAGATAACAGTAGATCCCTCAATGTCTCTCTTTTTCACCCTTTTGTCTCTTTCTCTCTCTCTCTCTCTCTCTCTCTCTCTCTCTCTCTCTCTTACTTGAAATCTTTCTATTAGGTTGGTGCAAAAATAATGACGTAAGAATGTCGTTTTTTGACGTTAAAAAATACGTCAAAAAACGACATTATTACGTCATTATTTTTGCATCAACCTAATATCTTGTCCCAATCCATTTTTTGTATAAAAATGGTTTCAAATGTCACCACCAGCCCGCTAAAATGATGCAGAGAAAGGCTGAAAAAATAAAATACATTAAGATTATGAAAGAAGGGAATTAAAATTAAATGGAGGGATTAAAATGTAAACGATAAGACTCCGTTTTCTGTAGGTATTTAACGAATGAAAGCGAGGCTGAAAGAGATTGTTTTTTTTATAGTTTATCACCCTTCGTATGCTGTTTAAATGCGGAAAATATTTTTAGATTTTTTTTTATAATAATTTACTGATACAATTCCTACTAATTAACCCATAGCTTGGGGGAGAAGAGGTGGATTCATACCCAATGGTATTTGCGCGAAAAGTAATGTAATGAACCCGACTGGAATTGGAACTCGGTTGTCCGATTTCCAATTTCGAGCCATTATCCATTACACCACCTGCACATCCAAGCTTATAGTACCTCGTCTCCCCAAGCGGTCAACGATCTCTGAGAAGCGGTGTTTCAACGTGACATGTCCATGAGCCGGGTAAAAGAGAGGGTGAGGATGAGGAGAGTTGGGAGAAAGAATGAAAAGAGTGGAAATAGTGAAAGAGGAGGAGAAGGAAAGTGTGGAAGTAACAGCGCAACAAAACAAGAAGAGAAGAAGAAAGTTAAGAAATTAAAACTTAAGAGAGTTTAAAATAAAACAAAATGGCGAACAGATACTATTTTTCATATCGGGTGAATCATTAAACATACAGATTGGGAGTTAATCCATGTTAGACGTTAGATATTATGTATATTCACTAATATATATATATATGTGTGTGTGTGTGTGTGTGTGTGTGTGTGTGTGTGTGTGTGTGTGTGTGTGTGTGTGTCAAACACTTTAACGACCGCACAATAGGATTGTTAACTATGAAGCAGAAATATATATATATATATATATATATATTTCTGTGTTTAGGCAGCAATTTTTTTAGCCATGTGTGATTGAATAAGTTATAAATATTATTTTGATCATAATCCTCTCATATTCACGAATTTCTTGCCTCATTTGATTGTAATATACGGAAAAAATATTCGTGAATATGAAAGGATTATGATCAAAATAATCAGACATAATGTTTGCAACTCATTCGACCAGACACACACACACACACATATATATATATATATGCTTGTGTGTGTGTGTGTGTGTGTGTGTGTGTGTGTGTGTGTGTGTGGAGAGAGAGATCGGAAGGAGGAAGAAGGAATTTAAATAAACTGAAAACTGCTTGCAAAGATAGATGCTCATTGAGGTGGTGGTGCATGTACAGCAGAGCAACTAAAAGAACATAATTACAAGTGTTGTCAGTGATAAAGCTAGCTAGCGAGCTAGCTAGCTAGCTAGCTAGATAGATAGATAGATATGAACAATGAAGTAGATAGATAGATAGATAGATAGATAGATAGATAGATAGATAGATAGATATGAACAATGATAGATAGATAGATAGATAGATAGATAGATAGATAGATAGATAGATAGATAGATATGAACAATGAAGTAGATAGATAGATAGATAGATAGATAGATAGATAGATAGATAGATAGATATGAACAATGAAGTAGATAGATAGATAGATAGATAGATAGATAGATAGATAGATAGATAGATAGATAGATAAATAGATATGAACGATGAAGTAGATAGATAGATAGATAGATAGATAGATAGATAGATATGAATAATGAAGTAGATAGATAGATAGATAGATAGATAGATAGATAGATAGATAGATAGATATGAACAATGCAGTAGATAGATAGGTAGATAGATAGATATGAACAATGAGATAGATAGATAGATAGATAGATAGATAGATAGATATGAACAATGAAGTAGATAGATAGATAGATAGATAGATAGATAGATAGATAGATATGAACGATGAAGTAGATAGATAGATAGATAGATAGATAGATAGATAGATAGATAGATAGATATGAACAATGCAGTAGATAGATAGATAGATAGATAGATAGATAGAGATAGATAGATAGATATGAACGATGAAGTAGATAGATAGATAGATAGATAGATAGATAGATAGATAGATAGATAGATAGATATGAACAATGAAGTAGATAGATAGATAGATAGATAGATAGATAGATAGATATGAACAATGCAGTAGATAGATAGATAGATAGATAGATATGAACAATGAAGTAGATAGATAGATAGATAGATAGATAGATAGATAGATAGATAGATATTATTGGACAACTCTCGTTCAACATTTACATTCTACCATAAACGATCCAATGTGAACTTTACTTGGAACTGTCCTATTCGCTGTTAAGGTGAATAGTAACTGTTTGGCTTCACATTATTTTTATTTTCGCTTCCCTTAAGGGATTCATTCTGGGATTGTTTGCAATGTTTTTGTCCGTTAGAGAGATCACTCTCAAGTTTGTATTCTATGAGTTTTCTTCAAAGTTTTAAATAAGATCAAATTGTTTTTCTTTTCTTTTCTTTTTTTCGTCGCCCACCTATGATTTTTTTTTATTTTGTTTTGTGGTCTGCTTACACTCCGACTTCCACAACCAATATCATCGTCGTCATCGTCATCATCATCATCATCATCATCATCACCATTATCGCTATTATTATAATTATTATTGTTGTTATTATTGTGCTACTAGAATTAAGGGCTTCATTTTACGTTCAATAGGAAAGAACAATCAATGGAGAAAAAGAAGGCGAGGAGAGTTGTGAAGCAGTTTTGTTTTTTTTTTTTTGTTTTTTTTTTTTACATTTTGTTAGAATTTGTGGCATAAGGTCGTCGGCGGGGAGTCCAGGACAAGAAAGAAAGAAATCAACGTAACAATTGACGAATACCAAGCGGGACCCTCACGGATCGCCCGCCTTCTACTTTCCACCGCCAACCATTTCCCCGACAATTTCTTCCTTGCCTCCTCCCCAAACCCTACGCCCTTAACGGGCAGCAGCGACGATGATATTAAAGTGCCGATTTTGGTAATTGAATCTTAATGTTGACATTGTGGATGGTAGGCGTTACTGGGGTACACACACACACAAAAAAAAGTAAAATAAAAAAGGAAGATGGGAAAGATGAGGAGAAAATGACAGGGAAGCGCAATGGCGGACGACGTTGTAAGAATAAGAACCGGAAGTTGAGTTAAGGTCTGATGAGAGTGAGGCGGGACGGGGGCGTCAGACTGATCGGCTGGCAAAAGGGTAATGAACGATACAAGAGTCTATGGAGGTAAAAAAAAATGAGGAAGAGTTCTTAAATGTATGAAATAATATGAAAACATTGTCTAATATTGATTTGGACATGTATACGCATGCGTGGATTTTATATGCAAGTGTGCGTACGTGTATGTATACTTGCGCATGCGTTTATATGTTTATATATGGTTGTTCGCACACACACACACACACACACACACACATATATATATTGTAATTATTTTTTTAAAATATGATTCCTTCGCTACATAAGAGTTCTCATGTTTCAAAAACGAGAGCCGAAACCATCAATATAATTATTAAAATTAAATTGAATTAAAGTAACAAGCCTAGTTTCATCCTCAAGCGAAAATTTAGGAATCACACACACACACACACACACACACACATATATATGTGTGTGTGTGTGTGTGTGTGTGTGTGTGTGTGTGTGTGTGTGTGTGTGTGTGTGTAAATAAATATAAAATAAATAAATATATATATAATTATTTATATATTATATGCGCGGTACTTATTAGAAAGCGCTCAATATCAGAGATAGAGCTAACATATTTGGTCTGACGATCGCTAAAGCGTGAAACCCAGGGTCACAAACTCACATCTATCCAACAAATATATATATATATATATATATATATATGATTATTTATTTAAAAATAGTTTATAACATAAATATGTTATAAAATCACTACAAAAATAGCCATTTTGTTTCAACACCCCCGATGTCTTGTCAAGTGATGATGGTGAATGTGTTCTTAAGTGATACTCCGAAATTGATTCTATCCATAGTATAAGAATAGAATAGGTAGTGCTCGACAATAATAGGATCTAATATCCAAGTATATGATTCGTGTCTACGGAATGAATTCCAATAACCAACAATTACTATTCTTAAAAGAGTGCTCAATACAAGTATTGGAATTCATTACGTAGACACCAATCATATATTTTATATATATATATATATATATATATATATATATATATATATATATATATATATATATTTGTGTATTTAGGCAACAATCGTCTTTAAATTGAATACGACAGACAAGATGCTTTAATTTAGTTTTTTATACAATTTGACATGTGATTTTTTTTTTCTTTTCGGGGGATAAATTATATAAAAACTGTCCAATTGTTCTTTCTTTCCAAACGCTTTCGGCTATACATTTAGCCATTTTCGAGGTTGAGATATATTAACTTATAACAAGAAATAGATTGTTGTATGTATGGATACTTGTTGACAACGCAAATGTAATAGAATCGTCTACATGTATAAAAAAATGTCTAAAAATAATGGAAGCCTTATTAATAAGAACAAAAAAAAAACAATCAATAATATCAACTACGAACATGGACATAATATCTTGACCGTGTTTTGAAAAATGAAAACATTATATAAATACATACATGCAACAAACTATTTCTTATTTAACGGTTAAAATAGTTCATCCTTGAAAATGGCTAAATGTATAGCCGAAAGCGCTCGGAAAAAAAGAACATTCGGAAAGTTTTTTATATAATTTATCACCTGAAAAGATAAAAAAATAGAAGATCATGAGAAATTCTATAAAAAACTAAATCAAAAGCACCGTGTCTGTCTATTCAATATATATATATATATATATATATATATATATATATATATATATATATATATATATATATATATTGAACAATAAAAATATTAAAAAAATTAAAATCTTCAGACACACTGGGTTTGCAGATTAATATTCTTTCGTTTTTATTATTATTTCATTTAGATTTCTCGACTAGTTTCGGCCAACATGGCCACCATAAGGAGAAAAAAAAATTGATTGCTGGTAGCAGTGAACTACAGAAATGAATGTCTTGATGTAGAAAACTTTAGTCTGTAGTTTTCATTTATTTTTTAACATGAATTTTGGTCAGTCCTTGTGTTGGTCAAACAGTCTCTTTTAAGTTGTTTGTTTATATATATATATATATATATATATATATATATATATATATATATACTTTTTCGCAGATTGACCTGTCACCTGTCGAATCTTTGTGCAATCCGTGCACACGTCCACCAGCGCATCATGGATGACCAAATTAAAAATATTAGTAGATAACACCAAAATACTCTACAGCACCCAATACAAGGAAAGACTCAAAACTCTAGAAAATATAATTATACAAAATAAATAGACTATTTAAATAACATACCATTCGCCACAGGAGAATTTATCTTCAAGTGCATATGATATAATTAAGATGCGCACATATTTTATTATAATATATATATATATATATATATATATATATATATATATATATTCACTTACGTGCTAATACCTTTGGGATGGGTATTAATCCTCATCATTCAGCTCTGGGTAAATAGCACGACAGACTTTGATAGCAACTGGACTAGAAGGACAACTCTGAATTCAAAACCTGCAGACGGTCATTTGGGGACCTTGTGGCACTTAGTGCACCAGGTCTCTGTATTCGTCCCTTCAAAAAGTGTGGATGGTTCTACACGAAACCTTCACCAATATAATTTTATGTGCTGTTGTCTGGCTGTCGGTTCCTAGGAAGTGATCTGATTGACCCTCATACGTCGAATACGACGAGAAGAATATACATACATATATATATATATATATATATATAGAGAGAGAGAGAGAGAGAGAGACTGTTTCGCTGTATCACATCTCATCAGTGTGGCTAGACGTCCGGTTGCCTCTAGCTAGGATCGAAACGCGACTGAATTGACGTCAGTCGGGATTCTACCGCTAAGCAATTGACGCATGGCAGGGATGAAGGTGAATTTAAGCGTATTTATTTTTAGATAAACACACAGTGACTGAGAGAACTCGATTCGATCTGTCTATATCTCTGAGATGTGGTATTATGATTGCTTATATTATTTACATTATTCGAATTGTTATCCTCATCCTCATCGCCATATTCACAACGTTTCGGCTGTTGAAAGTCCTAGCCTTTTTCCGGTCATTGGAATATATTTATATATTTATATATATATAGTAGCAGCTTTGCTCGTGCTTGATTCAAAAATCGTACGACTCATACAGCAATCGCTATCACTTGACTTAAAATATTTTTGCCCTTCCTTGCCTTTAAAGGAGTGTCCTTTGCCGTGCTGATGTTGCTACATGCCTTACTTCTTGCCTATCTCACACTGCGAATTTTTTCTAAGCTCTATACTAAACATTAAATCTGTTACGAAAAAAGAACTAAACAAAATGAACACAAAACGATCAGCTTTAAAAAAGGACTCATAACTGGAAAAACCGAATGAAGAAAAAGAATGTTAACAACAAATACTTTTTCACATCCAACCCAGTTCTGCGGAATCGGAATCAATGTTGAATTAAAGCAAGCGAATGAGCCAATTGGAGTAAAGTGCCATGCAGATTTAAATTTTCCCACTTGTGACGAATGCAGCTATCGATTTTTTTTTTTGCATGCTAGCATGCTAGTTAACATTCGTGTCAGTCAGCTGTTGGCTCTCACGCTGGCCAATAGAATCTTCCTGCCTATTCGTGGCAGCCAGCTATAGGCTCTCACTCTGGCCAGTAGAAAATGGCCGCAAACTACATGAAAACTGCCGTAGAAGCATGAAAACAATCGATTATTTCCACTATCGATTGGAGTTGGGAAATGCAACGTCGGCCTTGGCCTTCCCGCTAACTTGGAGCATGTGCATGTAAATTTTGGTGCAAATCCGTCGAAAATTGCGGCCGTGCATTCGTTACACACACACATGAATCCTGCCTTTTATAGATAGAGATAAGTCAAAACCCAGCGACAACAGGTTGTTTCATGATTAAACGCAATCGTGAGGCCATTTATGTTTATAAATATAGCGTAGCTTAAAACTATATTTTATCATTCATAAGAAGAGAAAGTTGAAATGTTATGGACACATAATAAGAGCCAACAATCTTTCCACTAGCAAATAACAAGGTATTACCTTAGGGAAAAGAAGAGGCAGACAGATGATAGAATAAGGGCTGACAACGTCACTGAGGAGACCGGAAGATTCTTTACGGGGTCTCAAACATTTGGGATTCTATTTATCAGCTCTCTTCTCTTTCGTCTTCTTAAGGGTACCCCTCTTTTTGCCCCGCCTTTTATCTGTGCTTTACCTGACTTTCTTCTTCATCGATTTCGAATGCTCTTCTCCCAATATTCATTTACCATTTTCTTTTATTTTTATTCTTTGCTTACGGCCGTATCATGTTGAAACGTTCGTACGATCACCGAAGTTAAGTAACGTCGACCCTGGTCAGAGCTTAGATGGGTGACTGCTTGGGAATACTAGGTTCTGTAAGGTTTGATGCGCGGATGGTGTGTTGGATAACGGCTTGGAATTGGAAATCGGGGAGTCGAATTTAGATCGTTATATTCACTAACGCGCAAATATCATTGGGAAAACTATGAATTCACCTTCTTCTTTAATTAATAGAAATTGTATCAGTAAATTATTATTATCCCCAATCTAAACTGTTTTCTGGCTTTAAATAACCTAAAAAAAATGGTGGCTTTAAATAACCTAAAAAAAATGGTGGCTATAAAAAAAATCAATCTTCTTGTTTTACTCTTCTTTTTATAATCTTTCTTTTCTTTTTTGTTTCTCCCTCTCTTAATCTCTTCATTTTTTCCTCTCTTTCTTTCTCTTTTTCTTTTTCTTTTTTTTCTTTCTTTCTCTTTTTTCTCGATCTTAATAACTCATTGCTTTCTTCTTTTTCTATTTTGGAATTCAGTCAAATATTTTCATTCTTTCTTTTTTTTTCCTCCCTTTTTTTCTTCCTTTTACACACAAAATAAAACACCCGACATATTTCGCCTCTCTCGCAGTCACTCTGTCTCTCCACATTTACCTCCTTGTCTCCCTTTACTTCTTTCTCGTTTTTTTCAAAATCCCCTTCCTTCTCTCTCTCTCTCTCTCTCTCTCTCTCTCTCTCTCTCTCTCTCTCTATTTCATTTTTTTCTCACTGTTGACCTTTTGTGATTTCAAGAGCCAAGAGAGTTACCTTTCATTTCCATTTGTCTCGTGAATATTGAATATTAAATCCGTCCCCATTGCTATGTGTTATCCTTACCATTATAGATCCGTCAACGTTTCAGATCCCTACAATTATCAACATTGGCTTTGTTTCATTTTTTTTTTTTTTTTACCATTAATATTGTTCTTACTCGTTTGATTATTATTTACGATTGTTACTTGCAAATGTATTCATTATCAGCTGGCCTTAGGCAGGCGTCATTTGTTTTCGCTATTTTCTTTTTTTTTTTTTTGTCTTCTATTATTCCATCATTCACTATTCTCTCCTTTTCCGGTGATGATTTGCACGATTTGTAAACTATTTAATTCAACTTTATTGTGTTTTCTAAAAGTGAAAAACAAAAGAAAACGTTTAGATGAGATAGCAGAGAAGGATGTTCGTTCAGGCTGCGGCGCATGGACGACAGAACAAGAAAAATAAGGTCATTTAAAGAGTCGTCAGTGATAAAACTAGCTACTTATGACCGAGATAGATAGATAGATAGATAGATAGATAGATAGATAGATAGATAGATAGATAGATAACAACAAATTGAGATAGATAATGAATAAATGAGATAGATAGATAGATAGATAGATAGATAATGAACAAATAATAGATAGAAATTAGATAGATAGATAGATAGATAATGAACAAATTGAGATAGATAGATAGATAGATAGATAGATAGATAGATAGATAATGAACAAATTGAGATAGATAGATAGATAGATAGATAGATAGATAGATAGATAGATAATAGAACAAATTGAAATAGATAGATAGATAGATGAACAAATAGATAGATAGATAGATAATGATGAGATAGATAGATAGATAGATAGATAGATAGATAGATAGATAGATAGATAGATAGATAGATAGATAATAAACAAATTGAGATAGATATGAATCGCGGTAGACAGATAAATAGAAAATGAACAAATGGTTCATATGAACATAGGTAGATAGATATGAACAGTCACTCTCTCTCTCTCTCTCTCTCTCTATCTATCTATCTATCTATATATATATATATATATATATATATATGTGTATATATATATATATATATATATATATATATATATATATATGAAATGAAATAAAATAAACGAATATGCAATCACAAAACGAGTCGTCCGCATTTTGCTGAATTAAGTTACTTCTTATGCAATAACATATGTAAGTACATGCATATATTCGTACACAGACATACATACACACACACATATATATAAATATATATATGTATGTGTGTGTGTGTGTGTGTGTTTAGGTGTGCGTGCGCGTGTGTGTGTGTTTCGTTAAAGACGAGTGACAAGGTATTGCGATTAAGTTTTTTATTTAATTCCTCCCGTGTTCGTACAAGCTTTTTCTTTTCTGGACACAAAATGTGTAAAAACTGTCCAAAAGTTCAGTATTTCCGAGAGCCTTAGTCACACCCTCAGTCATTGTCAAGGATTATTTATACTTTTAACTCAATCTATCGGTTGTGTTATGTATATAGCCCTATAACTCTAGATACATACACAACACTACCAATAGATAGATAGATAGATAAGAAGCGATTGAGATAGATAGATAGATAGATAGATAGATAGATAGATAGATAGATAGATAGATATAAAACGCGATTGCGATAGATAGATAGATAGATAGATAGATAGATAGATATAAAACGTGATTGAAATAGAATAGATAGATATAAAACGCGATTGAGATAGATAGATAGATAGATAGATAGATAGATAGATAGATAGATAGATAGATAGATAGATAGGTATAAACGCGATTGAAATAGATAGATAGATAGATAGATAGATAGATAGAAGCATTCAGACAGATAGATTTGCTTTACCGTATTTCAGTGCCGTCTACATGCATGGTTGCCAAAGACTCCATGCCTATCTATGATTTACCATTAGACTCACATAACTGTCACTATATTATCTTCTCTTGATTTATTGGATACACTAAATGGCACAATTTAATGTAGGTATTAATATTCTGGCGTTGACGCTTAAATAATGGACTCGGTACGACCATTTTTTTTTTGTAGGTATTTATGCGCATGCGCCAAAATATGAAACTTCTCCCCTTATAGGCACACCCATAGATAGATTTTAAAAGGAGGACTGAAAGTGGCCCGGCCCACTTCACAAAATTTGACGAAATTAGCAAACATCAGATATTTTCTGGAAAGTGTCTTGGCTTAGCCGAGAACTTTTCAGCATTCTTCACACACACACACACACACACACACACACACACATATATATATACATATATATATATATATATATATATATATATATATATATATATATAGAGAGAGAAAGAAAGAAAGCGGTATGACCTACAGAGGTATAAAGTACAACTTGATTATATACGCATGGACATGTGTGCGTAGCACTTTTCGCCAGAAAGCACAGGTACTACACACTGATACGAAGCAGAAGTGACTAAGAGCGATATTTTGATCCTAAACAGAGACTACAGATACTACACTGATCCTAACTCGACTCAATTAAATTTCCACGGAGTTTGTGATTTGAAGAACTGGAATTTAGACCAAAATCTTGGCCCGAATCAGAGTAAAAATTGAGGTTTTGAAGTTCCACGAAGTGAATTGAGGAATTCAGAGTTATTTTTTTCAAAATTACCATAGCTGATTTCTAAACTGAACCAAAGGTCCCTTTTATTTTTGGGACGGCGGCCCAATTAGATCTCTGCATGAGGTAGCTTAAAAACTAGTGTGTGCGACTTTTAAGTTAGTTGTATAATAAAACAAATAAGGACCCTATAAAAACAGTAACACTATAAGATATTATTTTTTTTTAAATGGCTGAAATATTGCTGTTTTTCCTCGACTTAATGTTTCATCTCTTCTCCTAGTCTGTTAAATCTCTCTTCAGGCAGTTCAAAGGACAAGATAATCAATTCTATATTTAGCTGAATATTGTATATCTTGTCCCTTAAACCACCTGAAGATACAACCATATAACAACCATATAACAAGCTTGGAATCCACATGAAACTTTAAGTCACGTAAAGGCGGTAACATCTATGTTTGTTTTTTTAAAAATAGTATATATATATATATATATATATATCGAAATGATAAAAAGGAGACATGGGGTAAACATCCACAGTTCATAGCATTTACTTTTAAAAAAACGCGTTCAATACAAAATAGAGCAAAATATTATTATAATATTTTTTTATTATAATAAATTACTATAAAAACATTTTACATCGCTACACAAAATCTTTCATGTTTCGGTACTAAGATGGTGCTTCCTCAGGCGACCACAAGATATCTACCAGGAAGTACAGTCTTAGTACTGAAACATGAACATTTTTTGTGCAGCGATGCAAAATGTTTTTCTCGTAATTTATTATAATAAAAAAATATTATAATATATATATATATATATATATGTGTGTATATATATATATATATATATATATATATATATATATATATATATATATATATATATATATATATATATATATATATATATATATATATATATATATATATATATATATATATATATATATATATATATATATATATAAATGCGAATGTCAGGGGTGTCACTGTGTCACACTTTTTCAATTAAAGGGACACAACTCTCTGAATTTCAATAGCTCATTATAGAAATTGTGGATTCCCAAGTTTTCATTACTACGATTTTTTCGGCGATTTTTTTTTTTTGTATAATAACAATTTTTTATAACCTGGAAATAAGTTTGGGAATAATCGAAATTAATTGCAAAATCCAGCAAAATAATTGTTTGTACGGAAAGTAAGGACCTACGTACATCAAAATTAAGTGGCGGCAGAAAAATTACTTAAATGCTTCTCCTGTAGTTTGTGGTTGCCTCTCGCATACGGCAGCAGTATGCCTCGCAAAATGAAATCTCCGCTAACAGAGGACCAGATTGCAATCAAAAGAGCCCAAGCTGCAGCGAGGAAAAGACAGTCTTGTGCATATGAAAACCCAGATCAAACGGCAACCAGGAGAGCTTCCAATGCTGGGAATGGGCAAAGACATAGGGACTCTCAATCCCTTGAACAAGTCAAAGTCCCAATCAAGAACCCTTCGCAGGAGCTAGCATAAATGCTGCTCGAAAGGTCGTTTTAAGCTAGTACACACACACACACACACACACATATATATATATATATATATATATATATATATATATATATATATATATATATATATATATGCCAAGAGACACCATCGATAAAACTATTAGATGTACAAAGCAAGTAAGTTATGACTATTCTTTTTTTAATCTTTATTATTCGTTTATTATATATGCGAATACATGGTAAAATGGAAAAGAAAGATTACTTTTTTTTCTTATATTTATTTCCAATTTATTCTTCCATTATAGATCCCTTACTTGCCATTCTGCAATCTCGTTTGAGTTCTGACTTATCATGTCACCATATTTTTTTTCATCTCTACGCCTTTTTGCACCTCACGAATATAATAGATAATTTCGCTGCCCGTAAAAACAGATCCGCTGCAAGTTAGAACATTCAAATAGAAGTGTAGAAGAAACTCCCGGTGTTTACCATGTTGTATGAGATAGAATCCAACATGGTCGCTTATAATATGAGAAGTAGATCTTATTAGTAGAAATTTGTGACGAAAGATATCAAGTCCGACCAATTAAATACACATATTTATTGACATGTACTGAGAAAAAGTTTACAATGTCTATTGAAATAGAAAACAATTTTGTCTCCTTAAACTCTTTGCTGTGATCAATTGTAATTTATTGCGTGTAAAAATATGAACATGGAGATGAACATAGATATGAAGAGTCTCACTCTCTCTCTTTCTCTATCTATCTATCTATCTATCTATCTATCTATCTATCTATATATATATATATATATATATATATATATATATATAGATATAGATATAGATATAGA